TGGCTGATTAAAATAAAAACTTAAAAAAAAAGAAATATTGAGAATATTTAAAACTTTAAACTTTAAGAAATAAATTAAAATGTGAATAAGTAAAAAAAAAAGCCTCTTGCACAAACATCAAAAGTATAAGAATGTTCTAATTAGCATTATATGTAATAGCAAAAACCTGGAAATAACTCAAATGCCCATAACAATAAAATGGATAATAAATCAGATGATACTATGCAACCATAGAAAATGACTGAATACACCTGAATTGGATGAATGGCCCTCAAAAACCTAATTTTGAGTGAAAAAGGCAGTCACAAAAGTGTATAGAAGTGCTATTTCATATATTTAAAGTTCACAAACAGGCCAAACCTAAGCAATATGCATTTCGGGATCCATACCTGTATGATAAACTATCAAGAAAAGCAGGGAACTGGCTAGCACACTATCAGGTTAGTGGTTATGTCCCCTCAGTAAAGGAGGACATGATAGGAAAGGGACGCACATGGTTCCTTTACATTTTTTAAACTGGTATGGATTCATGGGAGTTTATTTATTATCATTCTTGTAACTTGGCATATACATTGTTACCATGTGTGACTTTTAGTTGTTTTTAATAATTTAAAAACTAGCACAAGGGGTGCCTGGGCGGCTCAGTCGGTTGAGTGTCTGACTCTTGATTTTGGTTCAGTTCATGATATCGTAGTCTGTGAGATCAAGCCCCGTGTTGGGCTCTGAGCTGACAGCACAGAACCTGCTTGAGATTCTCTCTTTCCTCTCTCTTTCTCTGCCCCTTCCCAGATCATACTTGCACGTGCTCACTCGCTCGCTCTCTCTCTCTCTCAAAATAAGTAAATAACCTTTATGTATGTATATACATACATAAATACATAAGAGCACAAATAGACAGTGGCCACTCACGCAGATCCTGACCCACCCCCAGCCTGCAGGCTGGTCCAGGGGCCAAGAGCAAGCTACTGCACACTGGAGACGCTATAGAGAAAAGAGCTCTGGTGTCCCGACTTCACATCCCAGCCCTGTGTAGCTTTAGCCAGCTTCCTCTGTTTCTTTATCTGTGAAGAGTTCTTAGCAAAATCATTGTCCGTGGTGGGGACACGGTGAATATTTGTTGAATGAATGAGTCAAGACATCCAAGATTCCATCGTAACTACCACCCTCATCCAAATGTATTCCTGAGGGGGAAATTGTGGCTACAGCTTCTAGCACCCACCTCCCCACACGCACAAATGAATATCCCAGAATTTGAAGTGGCACATCAGAAAGTTCTCTGTTCTGTTCGATCCAAACTTTTGGTATTTTAATGTTACAGATTTTCTCTCCCAAATGTCAGCTTCTCTTCTATTTTTCCTTTCGCTGTCACAACAAGCATACAAGTATTTTCAATGGAATTTTACCAAATGGCACATCTTACATTTTGTAAACTATATACATGCACACTCCTCTTCTCGCCCCTCTGCCAAGTTCTGTCTCAGGGCCCAGTGATTTTGCTTCTTTGACCCTCATCTCCTGACTCAAATGCCCAGTCCTAAGGTTCCACCCAGAGCAGGTTATTCCTGGGCTTAAAGGGAGGCCAGGGGGCAAATGAGGAAGCATCAGGCCTCCTTAAGCAACAGGGGGAGCTTCTGTGTGACATTCACTAAAGCCCTGAGCACACCAGCCTAGGAATGCCAAGTCCATTCCAAATCACTTTTCCTTCCTTCTTGGCATCAACTTGCCCAGCTGGGGACAGGAAAAGGAAGCTGGAGCCTAGCAAACCCCAGATTACAGAAATAGGATGGTGCCTTGGCTAAGGGCGTGGGCATTAAGGTCAAAAAGAACCTCTCTGGACGTCATGTTCTTTATCTGTAAAACACAACAATAATCCCACCTCAGAGAGTTATTGAATGGCATAAATATATATATATAATATACGTTTAATATTGCAGATCAGCATTTAAAAAAAAAAGTTGCCATATCCCCAAACCACTTCTGTTTGACTTTGGAAGGAATAAAACAGTCTTTACACTCAATTTGCTTTTTAATTGGGCTCATCTGCAGCTAGTGCTGCAGTGGTGGGGTGGAGGAGGGGACCTAAAGAGCTCTGGAGGCACCATTTGTCTTGGGCATATCAGCAGTGTAAGCCCACCTACTACTCTCAGACAGGCCAATGCCAGCCATGCTGAGAAAGCACTCACAACCTGCACTCATGAGCTGGAGATACCGCATCAAACAGCACATGGGTTGCAAAACAGACCAGAGACTAGACTGTTGCATGAGCAGCACAGCCAGGACAAGCAGTGGAAGTCAAAGTGGTTACAGTTTACAGAGAATATTTTGGAGCAGAAACCTGGCCTCAGAGGCTGTCAAATCAGCGGACCGACGTCCAGGGCCCACAAAGGTAGGAGGTGTTGCACAGAATCCAGTGAAAGAACTTTGGTCTCCAGAACGCCTAAAGCCAAACAGATCAGCACCCAGGACAGCGACAATCAAATGTATGGCAGCACTGAGACATCGCATTCACCCCCACCATCCAGATCAGAATCAGCAAACATAGCAGGTTGCCGCCAGTCCCTCCCCTGCACCATGCAAACCTCATGGAGCAGTCATGGCATTTTCTATGGTGAGCCCACATACAGCCTCAGAATCCTTCTGAATCCTTCCCAATACAGCATTCAAGGCTCAACCAGTTGCTGGTCTATTAGAAGAAAGCTATTGGTTTACCCTGTCTTCATGGAATCACTGACAAAGGCCAGTCTGGTTGAAAACTAACTTCAAACCTCACCAAAGGTAGCAAAAGTATCCAAGTCAGAAAAAGAGGCACATCTTTAGGCTTGATTGGAGGTGTTGGGTAGGAGGGGAGAGGTGAGGGGCAGGGAAGTGTGTTTGCAGAATGAAACATCCTAGCTCACCTCCTCCACTTCAGAGGTCAGACTACCCGGTGCCTTGTCTTTCTTCCCATTTTTTCCTTTGTCTTCTGTGAAAATTGCTTGAAATATCCATGTCCTCATAAATTAGATGCTTCATTCACACACTGATAATTTCTTGGGGCCAACTCTGTGCCAGGCATGGTACTAAGCAGCAGGGACACAGTAGTGAATAGCACCTGGCCTGCTCCCCCGGAGCTTACAGCCTGGTGTGACAGTCAGTGTCCATCAACAATTAACCCTCAATAGTTTGTCAGGACAAGCTAATAGCAGGCCAAGAGAGTGAGATGTGTACCTCACAGATGTAACCAAGGAGCCAGCTCCATAGGAAAGAGAGGAGCCTTCAGACAGGTAGGGATCAGGGCCCCTTTCTTTGGAAGTTCCCACCTCCCAGGCCTTGGGGAAAACCAAGGCTTGAAAAGTTCCTGTAGGCTACAGCACAAAGGGAACAAAGATGTTGGAATAAGGGGGGCTAGGGGGCTTGCAGACCCTACCCCACAGCATCCTCCAGCCCTGGCGGTGTCCACACCTCCCAACAGCCCAGCCTCAGAGCAAACTGGATGCTTGGGTTGAAACATCAGTATGAAGCATTCTCAGGGAAGGCTGAGCCTCTGAGAGACACCCTGTGGGCTCCGGGGGGCTATGCCAAACCTCCAATGCCCTCCACCACCACCACCCAGGGCCAGAGATTGAATGCAGGTGGGAGGGAGAGGTCAGGCCTTGGACACAGTCTAGTTCAAGTGCTTGAAGCCTTGAGTCACCCTTGTCTCCATCACCACCTCATTTCACTTCAGCACAGTGACTGTTTGCTCTTCTAATTCCTCCTGGAAGACTCTAAACAGCATATTTGCTCAAGAGCTGGGGACAACATTCCAGTCTTAGAGAAGCAGAGTATTTAGGCAAATGCAAACATATGCTGGTTTCTCTTCTTAGTTACATTCTTGGCAAAGGAATTATTTCACCAAGAGACAAATCAGGACTTTCGAGGGCCCATTCATTCCAACCTGGCCCCAGCGATGGGACTGCTGACCCTTACCAGTCCCCAGACCCTTTAAAGACATGTAATATGAGTGGCAGCAGCTATAAAAGGGTGACACAGGGATCCCTGTGAGGGAACTACTCTATGTCCTGACCCTAGTGGTCACCTAGTGGTGATAAAATGGCATAGAAGTGAATACAGACACCCAAGTGCCTATAAACTGGAGAAGGATGAAAAAGGTCTCTGGATTGCATCAATATCAAATGCTGCTTATGATATGATATGAGTTATGCAACATGTTGCCCATGGGGAAACTGGGTGAAGGGTGCATGGGATCTCTCTGTATTATTTCTCATAATTGCATGTGAATCTCAGTTATCTCAAAATTAAGTCTTTTTAAAAAAAAACACATAATGCAGAAACCGTTTCATCTTGGGAGTAGGACTGGCCTGTTTTCACAGAGCAGCCATAAGAAAACCTAAAACTATTTCTCCAAAGCCCATTTTTGTGCATTTTTAACAAAGTATGATTTTTTTTTCATATGGGAGGTCTACAAAAAAGCCACATTCAGCGACATCCACATGACCTTACCTGGCCCCATGACCTTTAGGGTGCCCCTCCCCTGACCTATGCCCCAGCCTGTGACTCTGAAACTAAGGGCAGACCATGGTAGAGGGAGGCAAGGGGCTGGGAGGGCCAGGTGACTGTCCAGTGTGAAGGACAGTCTTTGAAGAGGAGTCTTCTGGGAGGACCGTGCTGGCTGGCCTCCGCCTCTACCTACATGCAGCCCTTCGGATCCCTGCCAGCAGTTTATTAATATTTTATTGAAAAGTCTAAGATGATTCAAACTTCAGCTGTCATGATAAGGTGTCGTTGCTAGGCAACATTCGTGCTTGTCTACAGATCTGTTTTTGCAGCTCTTCCCCCACTGGCAAAGCTCAAGGTTAGGCCCTAGCACCCCGAGACCCATACCGCTCAGACCCCCAACCACCATGTGCACCCAGCCCACTCTGAAGCACTCAGCCACCAGCCAATGGCCTGGCTCATGGGTCTCCCAATGCCCAACGTGCCTCCCAGGAGCCACAGAGTAACCCCTGCCCCCAACTCACCATACTCGCTGTCGTAGAACATGACAAACTTCTGCCAGCGCAGCTCTGTCACCAGCCTGAGCATGACGTCATTGAGGCGCACGGGCGGTCTGGAGGCCAGCGTGTAGGCCTCACCGTCAGGGCTGGGGTTCAGGTGGCAGGCAGTGCGCGGAGACCCCCCTGGGTTGCGCTGGACAAAGAGGTGTGGGATATGCATCGCATCTGTGAGTGACTGCAGGGCGTTGGCAGACGCACAGCCAGTGGACGTGACCAAGGCCAAAATCCCCTGGGTCATGAGGTCACAGGCTAGAAAGAGAGGGAAGAGAGAGGGATGGGTCAGCACGGGGACAATGCTGCACTGGCTTCGATCCACATGGCCCATGCCTAGCAGCTCATGCCCGGGGCCCCAAGAAATGCTGCCTGCCTCCAGAGACAGAACTACCCCGGGCCAGGCCAGGAGCTCTCACATGCAGAGTCCCACTGATGCTTTCAGGGATCCTGCCACCCAGATGTTCTTACACCCATTCAGCAGATGAGGAAATGGAGGCTGGGTGAGGCAAAATCATTTGCTCAAAGGTTACTCAAAGAGGGATGGTAGGACGAGAATCCAATGCACATCTGCTTGAAACACCCATCAGGGTTGCTAAATTAGCCATTCTGTTTCCCACCTGGGATGTGAGCCTTTTAAGAGCCAAGAACTCATTTTGTGGATCTGTGTGTCTCCAAGGCCAAGACATAAGCCATAAATATACTGTGTGCGCTATGATTGTTGGCTAGACTGAACTGATTGAGGCTGAAGGGAATAGATTACATCAGAAAGTCAGGGAGACACTTACCCCAGAGGACTCAGGTTTCAGGCAAAAAAAAAAAAAAAAAAAAAAAAAAAAAAGACAGCACTCCTAGGTCTTCTGGCCAAGTCCACTTAATTTATATCATAAAATACTGGGTCAAACCCCAGATGAAGCAGTCAGTTCCAGAAGCCCAAGATTATTCAAAAGCCAGTTGATAATAACAAAGGAAGATGCATGGCAGCTAGGTGGAGGAGGAGAGGGAGGGAGGGAGCCACCAGCAGCCTGTTCTTGGGCTGAGGCCCTCGCGGCCCATCTTTTGAAGTCATCCAGTATCCGTGAGGGGTGCCCCTTTTAGCCACAGACTTACGTCTTTGGGGGACATCAGACCAATTAATGGAAACATGCACCGCCCAACACTGCAACCCACTGCTCTGGTTTTGAAGCAAACATTTATTAATAATGCTTATGTGATGGAGGGATGTGGGAGAGCAGATGCAGCTTCAAAACACAGCCTGGGAATGTCAGCAGGCCATCTGCCGCAGACAGCAGACTTTTGAGCAACTTCGACAATGCAGTTCTTTCGGTTGAGAGCCTTTGGGTTTATGTAAACGTCTCAGACAAGGCTGAGAGGAGACCAGAAGCAGAGGAAACAACCCCAAGGAGAAGGCAGTGGGGGCCTGGGAAGGTGAGGGAGGAGGGAGGCCCTCCACACCTCCAAACCCCAAAGGCCGGCTGCTCCCCACGCAAGGGCGCTCACTGGGCACATTCACGAGCATCAGCAGGACGGTGACTCAAATGCCCGCAGTGCTCCCTGCTGGACCCTCAACCCCCATACATAATGCAGGGGCAGGGGCAGGGATGGTGCAATGAGATCCTCTGATGTCTCTTGGGAGTCACACAGCCATCCAAATGCTCTGACCAACTCCCATGCAAGCTTCACATGGCAGTTCTCTCCCAAACAAAAATCCAATTGCGTCATGCTCCTGTTAAGGCCTTCAGTGGCTCCCAAGAGCTTTGGGGACAGAGTCTTGTAGGCTTCCCAATGCCTGTATCTTCCTGCTCTTCACATGCCCCTGCCCACTATGCCCAGGCCAACCAGCCCTGTTTGAGCCCCTGGAACCCTCCATATTTTCTGTTCCCTCTTGCAACTTTCAACTTGAGTGAATACTCAAGACTCAGACTCTATATCCCCAGACTGGCCAGCAACCCCCTGTCTTGAGCTCCCCCTACACCCACACTTTCCCTATCAGGGCATGATGCATGGCTTGTGTAATTCTCTGTCTCTCCTAGGACCACACACTCCAGGGAGCCATGTGATGTGCCTGTTCTGTTCATCATCCTTCCCTAGACACACACCGTGTCCAGCACATGGCAGTCGGCAAAGACTGGTGCAAGAATGCAGTAAGCCTGGACATTTTCATGCCCTCTGGTCAATAATTCCACTTTAGGCACCTATCAAAATTATGGGAGTGGCTCTGGATCCCAAAACATTCATAGGATACTTATCCATGCTGTTGAAATATCGCTCACAATCTAAAAGATGCAGATAGATGAATGGTTATGAAAAACACTCCATTTGTTGAAAGCATATGTAGCCTTAAAATTATTGATGAAGATACTAAGGTAACATGGGAAAGTGCTTGTCATGAAAATAATACAAAATTGTATGTCTTTTATTACATCGATTAAATAAAACTCAACACACATGAAAGACCAGAAGAAAATATTGCAAAATGCTAAAAGTACATTTTACAAGAGGCCTGAACTGATTTTCCTTCTTTTCCATATTTTGCCAAAATTTCGAGTCATGAACAGATCATTCTTTTAGAAAAGAAAAATAATCTTCCAATAATGGGTAAGTTGTGAAGCTATATAGGAGGAGGGACTATTTTCTGAGAATTTTCCCTGTGCCAAATACTGTTGAGTACGTGTGTGTGTGTGTGTGTGTGTGTGTGTGTGTGTGTGTGTGTGTTGAGTACTTTATGTATGTGTCATTGTGTCCATTTTCCAGATAACAAGTTGTGAGGCCACACAACCAATAAGAGACAGTGCTGAACTGAAATGTCATCCAATCTAAAAAACACTTCTGAGAGGCAGCTAAGTGACAACAGCAGGGCACGAAATTATACACACCCCAGAACTGTAACTAGATAAAAAGCTTGCTTATGGAAAAGGCAGGAGAAAACACCAAAAGGCAAGAAAAGAACAAGGTGTAGTGATGCTGAATGGATTTCTCTTTATTCTCTGGTACATACTTTCTTCAATGCCAATACACTGAATTTCTAACTCTAAGAAGTAATCATACAAAATAAACTGGATATCACAAGGATGGAAAGCTGTCCAGACACCCAGCCCAGGACACCCACAAGAGTGCTCCTGGCTGCCATCACTCACTCCCGGCCCTCCACTGCCCACCCCATCCAACTCCCTCCCAGGTCATCACCTGACTTCTGATGGCAAACCCTGTGCCCATTCCATATACACTGGTTCTGAAGTCACTGAACCTCTCTGAACCTCAGTTTCCCCATCTGGGCAGGCATCCCACCGTCACTGCAGACTGCTTCCTTCCCCTCTGTGTGTTTCATACATATACTCAGCGCCCCCTACTGTGTGCAAACCCCTGCACTGGGCACTGGGGGAGCAAAGGGCACCAGCCCCAATTCTGAGAAGCTTGGATCCACCAAGAAGACAGACCCCATGATTCAGCCTGTGGGGAAGGAGAGATGAAGCTCCTTGGGACCCAGAGAAGGGTGACCTCAGGGTCTCAGAGAAAGAGGATTTAAACCAGCTGAGATGAAGGAAAACAGCATGACAGAGGGATGCAGCATGACAAAGACACAGGGGCCAGGCAGCAAGAGCATGCTCAGGGAACAATTGCCTGACTGGTCACTTTGCCCCAGTCCTGCTGGTAGCCAGGGACACCAACTTCTTGGCTGGGCCTGGGCTCACCAGGGCAGCAGAAGAAGCCCTAGAATCTCACTAACCAAGGTTCTGGTTTGGGCTCCTCCGGTCACATGGGGTGAGAGCTCCAGTGATCCCATTTGTCCTATGACGTGGCCGGTGCTGTGCCTGGCACGTCCTACCCTGAGAGTCCCAGGTCTGGAGAAGCCTGGATCAGCAGGATGCTGGCATTTCAGGGAACACTGGCAGGATTGTGATTGTGGGACTGTCCCGGAATGCTGACGGAGCCCATGGGTCCTTTGTGAGCCTCCATTTTCTAAATGAGGATAAGAATCTCTACCCAGCAGAGCTAGGGGAACATGGACTTAGGACATGGACAGCAAGTGCCAACCCTTGCTGTGTACAGGAAAGAGGTTAAATAGAAGCCAGTTTCCTGCCACTCTTCTTGGGCATCCCCATCTCCCCCATCAACGTCCCCAATCAAGTCATGCCCAGGATCCCAAGAAACAGTAGTTAAGACAGAGAGCGCCCTCACTCCTGCTGCTGACAGCCCTCGCCGTAGAGGTGGGCACCACTGCCCCACCTCTCGTACAGCCACCTGCAGCATCATGCAAACTCCTCAAGCCGCCAGCCTCGGAAACTGGGTGGATAATTAAGGCTGGAAGCTTCTCCCAGGCACTAATGGAGAGGCCCGATGCAAGTCAATTTCCAATCCGTTGTGAATGGCCTGCTAATTGGGGCACTGTTGAAATGATGGTTATTTAGAGGCTCCTAACATAAAAATAATATGATCAAAATACATCAGATCAAAGCCAAATCAGCTATTAGCTTAATCAAGGTTGTGTGCTCATTCCGGGACAGGACATACCCCCAGTGCAGAGAGAGATGCTGAACCCCAGTGACAGGGTCCCCTGGCCTGAGTCTGAGTCTGGGCCCTGCCACAAACATGCTGTGGGACCTTGGGCAAAGTGCCGGCCCTCTCCGGGCCTCTGTGTTTTCTCTGTCATGTAACAATGATCGCGCCCACTTCACAGGGGTGTTGTGCTCATTCCGTGAAAGGTCTTGGTATGTGAAGAGCCATTCGCACCGCCTGGCACGCAGTAGGGATGCAGAAGTCACCACTGTTATTACCTCTCCTGCTTAGACGTGTTTCTGCAGCTCACTACAAGATAAGAGCCTTTGTTATAATTCTTTGCCTCCAATATCATGTGGTCATAAAGCTGATCTCTCTCTTGATTGCAACAATGCATGCTTGATGGCTTGATAAGGACACCCTGAGAGTGGCTCATCAGCTGGGAAAGCAAGAAGCAGAGCTGAATGTGATGATCAGCTTCAAGCCCCCTCCCCAAGCCTGGTGGCCTAGGAGAGCAGAGGGTCTCTGCAAAGATCTATGCACTGCCCAACAGCGTCCCAGGAATTGGGAGAAAGAGGGTGCTCAGAGCTCAAGCTTGGGCCCAAATGAGAGGACCCATGGGCTCCGCCAGCATTCCGGGACAGCCTCACAATCACGTTCCTGCCAGTGTCCCCTGAGATGCCAGCATCCTGCTGATCCAGGCTTCTCCAGACATAGGACTCTGAGGGTAGGTCGTGGCAGGCACAGCACTGGCTACATCA